TATGCAGTACGTTTTGTAATTTAATAGTAATTTAGTATTTCTTGAAATACTCTATATTTCATAGAAAGTTATGAATTTTTTTTTCCATTTTTAATTTGTCTCGAAAATTAAAAAATTTCTATTGCTTTTCATATTTTATTATATAAAGTTTTCTATATTTTGAGGTAATATGGATGAGAGTAATTAAGACCTTGTTCAATAGGAATTAAAATCTAAATTTTAACCTAAATTAAAATTAATAATTAATTTTAATAACATATTTTTTTGGAATTCACAACTTTTAAAATACACATTTCATCAACTTTAATAAAAAACTATTAAAAAAATTGATTTTAACCCCATTAAAAGGGGATAAAAATGCAAAGTTGAGAAGTTAATATAAATAGAATGTTACACAAGTATTAACAAGGGGGTAGCACATAATTATCGGGTGAATGAAGAATCGAGGGGTATCTAGCTAAACCATGACGAGATTTCTTTCTCAGATTTACTAATGTGCAGTTAGTTTCTAACTGAATCACTAGACTGTAATCTAATTTCAAATTTAATATGCTATCGATTGTCTTTAAATTGATAAAAATTATTGAATTCGTAGTGGTGCTCATACCACAACTCCGCATCGAATCTTCAAAACCATCGATACTCAACGTTCCAACTTGCTAATACTTCACACCATAAAAGTGTTAGAAAATGTGTTTTAATTTTTATTTTTTTTTACCATTTTCATTTCCAGTGTGTTACCTAGCCGTCACGTGAAAGATTATGCCATCAACTAAGTAATTCTATCAGTTTAAGGATGATATATAATGGAATATGATATAACAAATTGGTAAAATCGATATTCAATTACCTAGTTGTGAAAAAATAGAGTATAGTGATAAAATTGAAATTTCACTGAAAGTCCAGTCACTATCGATGAAATTTGTGCAACCTTGGAGATCGGAACAAGAATACAATGTACATAGCAGTATTGTTAAAAGCTCACATAGACGCTTGAAGCTCGGGCAAAACGTTTCGCTTCGCGCCTAGCCCTTTTTTTTTTTTCCAATTCCTAAACGGTTGAATTTTTTCTTCATTTCTTTCTTTAGACGCACTTTGTTAGTTTTTTTTAAAATATCTTTTATTTAACTTTACCTTATTATTATTTCTTTAAAAAAAACTTTTCATTTGATTTTAATTTCAAGCTTTAAAATGATTTTAACTGTACAAAAGTTAAAATGACTTTATCTAATTAGTTAAATAAGATTTTAAGTTATGATACTATCTACATTGTGTAGTTATGATTTTGGAACTCATTTTATTACAAATACCAAAAGGATGTATGAAGTTCTTATAGATCCATTAAATAGAATTTGTCTACTAAAATTGAAAATATGAAAAATTCCAATTTTTGTATTTTGAAAATTTGAAAATTGTATAATTGACTAATGGTAGAAGTATTAAGTAAAAATATTGTATTTTATAATTTTAGATGTTTAATATGTATTATTTTAATTATTAATTAATTTTTAAATTGATTAAAATTTTAAAATAATATTATAATTATAAATCAGAAAACATTTTCTACGCATGCCACACTGCTGCATATTATGAACCTTTTCTTCCTCTTTAAAACCCTATATTCAGTACAAAATTCCGTTCAATTTAAGGGATTTTGATAATCAGGAGATTTTCCTATTTGGCCTAATTTTATTTCCTTTAAGTTATTCATAGAAAAGTCTATATTGCCCTTACTAAAATAATTCTTCTTATATTGCAATATATATATCAGAATCTTTTAAACTATTTTATATTATATTTATTCTATTCTGAATTTTAACATATAGGTCCATTCTATGATCTAATATATTGGAATATTCTGCAACATATTGTTCATATTTTTTATTAAGTATATTATATTCTTCAGAAAATACATTTATATTTTCTAATTGAGAAATAATATTTTTTATTTCTTGTAATATTCTTTCTAATAAATTATTTAATTCTTTAATTGTATATCCTGTCATTCAAACGTAAATAATCCCTAAGATTCTCTAAAATCTTAAAAAGATTCGTTCTAATTTTAGCAAAAATTAATAGTCTTACCTTAATTTTGATCTGGACCTTTATTTTTAGAATTGAGTGACCTTCAAGCTCTGAATATGTAAACTGCTTCCTTCAACGACCTCTTGCCTTTGCGGAATCTTTACTATTTCGGCTTCTTACTCTCACTGTATCATTTCTAAAGAATAAACTTCTAGATTTTGATTAAAGAAACACTCAATTTTTCCTAAAATAAGAAAGAAACTTTCTATTAAATCTTTCAAGAATATATGAGAAT